TTTTTTTATGGTGGTTACAAGATTGGTCAAATTGATCAAGTCCATACAGAGTTAGGGTAGAGAAAATAACAGAAAATATTGACTTTTACTGAAAGAAACATTGAATATTTGTTTAGAAGGTTTTTACAAGTTACACGAGTGAAATATGAAAATTTTCAAATGAAGAATAGTATTTTTAACCTTAACAAGAAAATCACTTTGCACTCAAAGCAGTCAACACTCTTAACTCTATATGTTGGCATACACATTTTTATCAAAAAACAATTAATTTAAAAAATCTGATTTTTTTATGTACAAAAGCCCTGTAATGTTTACTGAAAGCTTGCAAAATTTGTGAAGATACACAAAACATTTGAAAAGTTATAGTATGGAAACTCTGATGGTCACTATGGGTCAAGCTTAAAATTTTTTTGTTTCATGTTGCCTACTCACCCATCTCAGGTATGGGTAGGTTGGCAGGTTGCCAGCAGTAGTAATTGCTAAAGACACAAGGTCTCTCTAGGAGAGGTCTGTGAACATGTCCCCCTGGAAATTTTTAAATAAAGAAGTCACAAATGGTGCATTCTCAAAGCTTAAGAGATTATGCAGATTCCTGTATCAGTGACACTACAGCATAAAACTATGCTACTTCTCTGGAAAGATGATGACACCATTATTCTGTGTGCCAGGTTTTGTTTGTTTTGAATTTTGCACAAAGCTGCACGAGGGCTATCTGCACTAGCTGTCCCTAATTTAGGCTACTCTTTTACGAATGAATAGTGGGATTGATTATCACATTACAAGCATATTAAGACGTCTTTAATATAAACTTTTTGTTGTGTTTTTGCATAACTTAACAAGATAATCATAAGATAAATAAAATCGAGATATTTTGGATGATTAAGTTAAATATTGTAGTTACGTGTTTTAATTTAAGATGAAAAATGAATGAGGAGGAAGCAGTAGAGCCTGTAGCAGCTTGACAAACTGGGAAATCTATATATTTTGTCAGAAAACTGAAGGAAGTATATGCAAAAGAATTGCAAATAGCATTGAAAAACTTAGATAGACATTTTCTTCAAGAAAAAGATATTATGACAGCACCTTTAGTAACACCTCAGAGTGCCTTGAATCGGATATTGAATACACTGAGTCAAAGGATCCAAAATGGCAAACAAAAACTTGTTGTGCATTAATTCTGTTGTGAAACAAACCTACTCAGAATTCAGAAACAAACCAGTAAAGAAGATGAGGCTAATACTACAGCCAGTGCTACCACCAGGACACATCCAGGAGTATTTCTCCCTGTAGCACAGTGAGATAAATGCATTTTGTGTCAGAAAGTATCCAACTTTAAAAGAAAACAAACATTGCACAAAGTTCAGATCAAAAATGCAGAAAAGACTACAATTTCAATTGCATTTAAGAACAAAAGATGCCAAATAGCTGGACCTGACTTAATGGATTGAAGTGGCAAATATACTATGAGAAAGAAAGTAAAGACAAGTCCAAATCCTACAATGCACATTCTGATACTTTTGAGAAACTACTTATTAAACTAGAGAGTGGCTTTGCACATGGTCACATTTACACTCTCAATGCATAATTCCAAACAGAGATTATATCAAGTCCAACATCAAAATACTGGCTGCAGTACTTAGAAATGGTGCAGATACTGCAGAGCACAGAAGAAGGGGTCATGGTCACTTCAACTGTCATCATTTGTCAAGATGTTCCCTTGGAAGGCAAACTACTTTTGGTGGACTTGCATTTGTTTGATTGATATGCACCAGCTCAAAAAGACAGCACATAAAGTGTACAAAGGATTCACAGAGGGTAACTTTGTGGTAAAGAGCACCAACAACAGCTTCTTAAGAAACTCACAATTAATGTAATTATCTTGTTGAATTTTGTTTTATCTGTTCAGAATGTGGAGTATTTCATTAGTAAAAATTGAAGAAAAAGTAGAACTTAATAACTTAGCCATCTCATAATTATCACGTATTAACCTTCCTGTCTCATCCCTCAAAGGCCCTACTACCATCTTAAAATTTTGCTTGCCCTTAACACTTTTGCTATGAGAACCTTTTTTCTAAATGTAATTAAGCTCCTTTTTTTATCATGGTATACAAATAAACTTGGCATCAAAACATAGCTAATAATCCAAATTTCAATATTATACAAGTTTTAAATTTTATAAGGCAATAATAAAAAAATCCTCAATTTCCTCTAGTATGAGAATTGTGACTTACACTCTTGAGTAATCCCCTCCTCTTTAATTTATTCACCATCCCTCCCAAATTTACGAAATTTAACGCAAGTTACTCATTATAAAATTGTCATTGCTCAGGCAAAGTATAATTTTTATCGTTTTCAACTTTATTTGGTAACAGAGCAATAAAATAGAAAATCAGACCCCTCTTGCCATGCCCACCCATCACAAATTCTCTTTTACAAATTTACAATAATTCTTTTTTACAGTTAATACTAAATTATTTACAACCAATAGAAAGCCAAGGTTTTAGTCTATAAAATGAAATATTTTGTTTTTTTGTACAGAGAATTGTCTATTTTGCTTCCAGTTCAAATTTTATTCCCATGAGAAACATCAATAGCTGAAATTTTAATGGCTCTTGTCACACACTTAGACAGCCAGACAAATTGTGATAGTTATAGGACATTGTCTGCTTTTTTGCATGTCATTATTCTGTGTTCTTTGGTGCATTATTTAAATAAATAAAAAATTATTTAGCACAGTAATACCATTAGTATAAAAAAATTAGGGTTAAGTTTCATTAACAGTCAACAGCAAAAAAAAGAAAAAAAAGATCCAGGTAAGTACTTTATTTCTTGTTTTTCATGTGTATTTTTATTATTATTATAAAAGTAACTAAAATGTAAAAATGAGAAATTTTTTAGATTAGATAAGGCTAGATCAGGAAAAATAATGATAATAATAAAAAATGTTCATAAGGTATACTCGCAAGCAACTCACGAGTAGCTCATGCATTATGTAATTTGATAGGGTAATGTGAGCTACACGTTCACCAAGTGATTTTCAACATATGTGGTGGGAATATTAGTTAGACACTGTTCAAATGGCAATAAAACTTAAGTAGAAACAGATGTATACTGTTACAAGTTTAAAGCTATTTAGGATAAACAATTGTAGTTTCATGTTACAATTTGAAGTCATTGTAGAAAGAAGTAAAAAAGGGTAATTTAGATATATTTTAATTTTTGTTGGCAGTTATGAGGTCAGTAAAATCGACTGAATCCATATACAGTTAGGGTAGAGAAAATAACATATAAAATAGAAAGGTTTACTGAAAAAAACACTTCAGAGATTACGCAAGTGAAACGTGAGATTTTTCAGAGGAAGAAAAGTATTTTTAATCTTAATATGAAAATCACTTTGCACTCATAGCATTCAATACTTTGACTCCATATATTCATGGAGAAGTTTTCAATGAAAATACTTCATTACAATTCTGATTTTATATCTTCAAATGACTCTTAATGATTACGAAAGGCTTGCAAAATTTTGTGAAGATACACAATACATATTTGAAGTTATAGTATCAAAATTATAAAGTTCAATTTGAGGTCACAAACTCACATGTAGCAAGAGAGTTAATGTATTTAAATCCTTACTAAAAATTGTTACATTTTCAGCCACCATTTTTTACATAAGTTTTTTTTATTTTCTTAATTATCTGTTTGACCAACTCTGTTGATCTTCTATAATCCTCCAAATCTTCCATCATTGCAGTCAACTCAAACTTCTTAAATTTATAATGCAATTCTTTATTTTTATCCTTTATACCCTTTGTGAGCTAACTTAGATTTTGAATTGGGGCCACCTATTTTCTTTATAAGGAACATGCCTATACTGGATACTTAGGAATTAATTTTTAAATTTTTCCTACATTTGAACAGTATTTTCAATTAATTTAGTAGCTCAATTCACAGCAGAAAATTCTTCTTTCATTGCTTCAATTCCCTAACATTCCAGGATTTTCATGACCTGTGGGAACCCTGTTAACATTTATGATATACATGTGTGACCAATAGATTAGGATTCACACAATTTCTGAAATTTTACATTCAAAGTTAATTTATACATTTTTCATGCTGCTTGCACACCAAGAAACAAACATATTTGTCTCCAGATAGAAGGATGTAGAGATCATACATCACAGTAATTTAACTGCTGCTTACTAAAAAAGGGGACATGGAACTACAATAAGAACATAACCCTGATTGTAATCTTTAGAACTGTAAAACAATTTAAGTGATATGAGAAACACATAAAATACACAACTAACATAAGAAAAAAATTAAATATACTGTATCCTTAAAGTATACTGTATTATTACTTTGTAATGTGCATGTATAATGCATAAATAATTGGATTTTTATACCACAGTAAATTTCTAAACTGGATATAGCAGTGGTCTCTTGGTCTCTCAATTTTAACAATGGAATATTGTATTTACAATTAAATAAGAAAGATAAAGCAACAATTTCTACGTTATTTCTATATTAGTAAGTAAAAATTATTGCAATTTCATAGTTTTCAAAGTACTGGAAAACATGAATATCAAATTACATGCTTATTAAAAATTTCCACACACTTTACAAACTCTAACACATTACTCAAAACCAGACACATTTTGGTCCATTCTTAAAACCTGCTCTATAGAAATCTGTAAACTGTTTACCTGAGATCTTCCGTTTTTGACAATGTGGATTTTACATCAAATTATTTGTTCAGAAATTAAATTTAAAAAAATGTGAACTGACCATATAAAGAACAGAGAAGCTTATTAGCATGTCATGTCATTTATTACTCTCCAGATGTGAAGCTCGTACATGGTTTATATTACAATGTTTTATAAATCTATGTATTAATAATATAGTAAACAATTTCTCAGAGACATAATCTCCATAAAAAACTCTTTAAAAATGTCAATTAATACAAAACATCAACTACACTAACACAGTCACTAAAGACCTACCTAAATATCACAGGAGTGTGGTCAGGAACATTGAAATATGTATTTGCCGGTCGAAGCCGTTCACCAGTGGTCATGGGTCCATCACCACCACCACCCATACCTAAAATGATTTATATTTTACTGAATTTTCATTTCTATTTAAAATTAAAAACCATTTATTAAAATTAGTATTGATATTTGATCAAATAGAACTCTGCGACCATTAAATATTCCTACTTTAATAAAAAAAATATACCCTATATTTCTTACAATTTTTTTTCACATATGAATTAAATCAAAAATTTGAAATATTTAAAATGAGCCATAAAAAAAAAGAGGAATAACTATGAGCAATGCTCAGGTAAGTTGGTTAACTTTAATTTTTGTACACATTTACCCAAATTAGTTAAGATACTCATACTTTTTGAAGTATGAAAACTAAGGATTCTTTTGGGGAATAATTATGAGTACTGTAAAATATTTAATAAAATTATGTTGATGTTTTTACAAAACTACCTGGGACAGTCTCATTCAAAACAGCAATTATATTCTCAAATTAAAGCTTACCATTTTCACTTTCTTCATCATTTGTGTATGATGGTGGCCAATTAACTAGTAGTGCTTGAAGAAGAAGTCCACCCAAGTTAACTAAACAAATAAATTTTAATAAATAATTAGATACATCAATGTTTAGTTGGTTAAGCATTAAAAGAAAAAATTTAATAGAATTATTATTATTAAAGAGGCTGAATTTGGCATATATCCGGCTTTGCATTCCCTCCAAATTCTAAGTGGAAACTGTAAATAGTATTATTTTCACACAAGCATATTTAAAACTAATTTGTTTAATATTAATATTTTAATTTATGGTATGTTTATAGTTACAAATAGCAAAAGGAAAACTATATTTTGTAACGAATTTATTGTTATATGTATTTATTTTAATGTCAACGTTTGTTTGGATTAAGTTTATATTTAAAAACATACATAGCTTATAGTGTTAGATATGTATTGCAAAATTCCCACCTATTCTTCAAGGGTGTAGAAGATTCTTGAGAGTAAGAATCAACAATATGTGTATATATGTAAATGTTTTAATTTGCATTGTTGCGCAACCTGAATTTTCAAGAAAATCTACCCACGGCTATAAATATAACCAACGCTCCACGCCAAGAAGAGTATCTATTACTAGTTTGCTATAATCAGTATGCTATAAACTCCGAAAGCTATAACTGTGGTTGCTATAATGCTTATCAATTGGAAAACTTCAGATATTTCACCAGGAATATTTATAAATTTTGAACATTACAAACCATTTAACTTCAGTGGATTCACATCAGACATTAGTATATTTATGAAGACATTATATAAATTCAACGGTAGAAAACTCAGCATGTGTGGCAAAGGACAAAGCTAGCTAGTTTCCTGTTAAGTGATATATATCTGTCAACTCGTAATCAACTCACTCATCGTGAACCCTCGATAAAATATCAAGGAAGTTCCAGAATAGAAAGAAAACTTTATAAACTTTTGTTTATAAATCTTTGTTTGTAATAACCATTTGTAATATTGTTATTGTAAATTGTACTGTTGTGTATATATTAAAACGTATTTGTGTTAAAAACAAAAAACGGTGTGTATCAATCTTTTTGGCAAATATTACAAATTTACTATATATCGGCATTTATTTGAATACTAAATCCAAAGTATAATTGAACTACTAAATTTAAATTATCAGTTAACTCAATTTCAGACCATTTAAAATTCTAATACGTAGCAATTTTCATGGATCACATGCAGTAATAAAATAAACTGACTAATTATTTATATTTTCATTAACTTGACACAAAAGCTGGTAACACAAAAATAATGTTCATAAGGATGAAACAACCATTCCCAATGTCATAATCTCTCCAATTAATATGTGACTCACAGAACATACCGCATCACAGATCAAATAATTCAATGTAAATTATAAGACATAAAATTATCTGTCTTGATCACCATTTACACTAGGTCTCTGGCTTAACTGTTACTTTAAGTCCTCTACTAGTATACATTTCGATCAATTTGGTGGAAATGTAACAAACAGAAATTATTTTTCTATTGGCACTTAAAAGCTTGCCATTCTCCCAAATTATTGATTTCTCTGATAAAACCAGAGTTATACAAGTTTCTTTTATACTTGGATCAAGTAAGATTAAATCATAAAATTTTACTGAAGAAAAAAACATTTATTTAGAAGGAGAAAAAAACAACAATTTACAGTTGTTATTAACCAGAACACTTAAAAACAATGTTGGTTTAAGTGTTAGTTTCTCTAGTTATTACATTTAGCAAAGTTGTTTCAAAGATTTTTTTCTCTTATTGAATTGTATATCCGAGCATGATTAAAAATACAGCACAATAATGAAAGTGAGCAAAAACCATGTACACATTTGGTATTAATTAAATATATATAAATCGATCAACACAATTTTAATACATTTAACATGGAAAATTCACCTTTTGTGTCAGGTCCATCTGTTGGTCCAAGATCAAACTCTTTGGCAGATACCCAAGCAGCAAAGCAATCTGGTTCATCTAGGTGAATACACAATATCTGGAATGCAAAAAATCACGAATTTTTTTGTTACATGCGTAATTATATATAACAATAATAATCTCACATCACACAAAATCATTTTGAACACCCTGTAAGACTTTACAATCATGTTTGATAATTCATACTCTAATCAGAGCCTGGTTACAATACTTTGTAAACATCTGAGGGTCTTCATATATCACTTCTAGCTGATATAACCATTCAATGCACAGAGAAGACATAAGAGGGTCATATCCAAATGCAAGCCCACCTATGTCACTCTCCAGAGGGCCTACAAGATATATATCAGGTTTGATGACAATAGGTCCAGTAGTTTGCCAGTTATAAATTGGCACATACACATAGACTTTATTCAAATAATAGTTTAGAAGAACGAAACTCTGATATTAAGAAGCTATAATCATAAAATAAAATTCTGATAATTTTAATATACTAATTAAAAATTATAATAACATTATTCAAAATTATTAACTCAAAAATTTTGCTAATCTGGTAATCTTACCTCATGAAGTAAACTTCTTGAATGACAGTACCACATAATGATAGATCTTGTAACAGTACTACATGATGCTAGATCTTATGTGACAGTACCACATGATGCTAAACCTTGCATGACAGTATGACATGATGTTACACCTTGCATGAAAGTACCATATGATGCCAGATCTTGCATGACAGAACCACATGATGCTAAACCTTGCATTATAGCACCACATGATGCTAAACCTTGCATTATAGCACCACATGATGCTAGATCTTCCAAGATAGTACCACATGATTTCATATCTTTGCAGGACAGTACCACATGATGTCAGATCTTGCAGGACAGTACCACATGATGTCAAATCTTGCATTAAACTACCACATGATGTTATATCTTGCATTAAAGTACCACATGATGTTATATCTTGCATCAAAGTACCACATGATGTTATATCTTGCATCAAAGTACCACATGATGTTATATCTTGCATCAAAGTACCACATGATGTTATATCTTGCATCAAAGTACCACATGATGTTATATCTTGCAGGACAGCACCACATGATGTTATATCTTGCAGGACAGCACCACATGATGTCAGATCTTGCATGACAGCACCATATGATATCAGATCTTGCATGACAGCACCATATGATGACAGATCTTGCATGACAGCACCATATGATGTCAGATCTTGCATGACAGCACCACATGATGATCAATCTTGCATGACAGCATCACATTATGCCAGATCTTGCATGAAAACATAACATAATTCCATAATTTTCAAAGTAATAATAGTAAAAGTAATCAAATATTCATTTAAAAAAGTTTATTCATTTTATTCAATCATGTATGAGTAAGTTAAATCTGTCAACTTAATTTCTTCTTGTAACACATACACTATCCTACCAAAAGTCATAGGACAAACCTGTGATTGCCAGATTACAGTGATGATGAAATTTGCAAATATTTTGGCCTATAAAGATGATCAGCGGTTCACTCAAAAGTCATTTCGAACTTGTACACCAAATGAGGAGTACACGGAAAGAGCTATAGAGTGCAAGGAGAGTTGGATGTCATTGTGGAAAATGTCTGTGCATGCGCAACAATTAAACATTTCCAGTTTGACAATTGGCAATGTGCTGAAGCAATGGAAGTCCAAAGGTGACAATGAGCCCAAGAAACGACCAGGTAGGCATAAAATACTGACTGACAGGATCTGATGCATCTTGAGAAGGCTGGTTACCTCATCTCACCATCAAACCTTAGAGAATCTGTGTTTATAGATGCGAGCAGCCACAGACAAGTCTATAAGTGTTTCCTGAATATGTTGAGAGCTGCATGCCATGAATTTTCACGGAAGAGCTGCAGCCAACAAGCCATTGACAACAAAAACAAATGCACACCATCCATTGGCATGGGGCAGGGCACACTGAACCTGGATCAATGCAAATCGGTCTTGAGGAGCGACGAGTCATGCTACACACTCTCCCAGTTTGATGAACGTGTTTGGGTATGGAGGATGCCTGGAGAATGATCATTACCTGAGTGTGTTATCCCAGTGTGCCTTGTTTGTTTGTTTTGGATTTTGCGCAAAGCTACACGAGGGCTATCTGCGCTAGCCATCCCTAATTTAGCAGTGTAAGACTAGAGGGAAGGCAGCTAGTCATCACCACCCACTGCCAACTCTTGGACTACTCTTCTACCAATGAATAGTGGGATTGACCACCACTTTATAATGCCCCCACAGCTGAAAGGGCGAGCATGTTTGGTGTGATGGAGATTCGAACCTGCAACCCACAGACTGTAAGTCGAGCGCCCTAACCACCCGCCCATGCCGGGTCCCCAATGCACCTTGAGAAGGCTGGTTACTTCATCTCCCCGGTAGACCCTAGAGAATCTGTGTTTGGAGATGCGAGCAGCCACAGGCAATCCTATAAGTGTTTCCACAACACATCGAGAGCTGCATGCCATGAATTTTCATGGAAGAGCTGCAGCCCACAAGCCACTGATAACAAAAACAAATGCACAGCATTGATTGGCATTGGGCAAGACACAGTAAACCTGAACCATGGATCAACGGAAATCGGTCCTGTGGAGAGACAAGTCACTCTACACGCTCTTCCAGTCTGATGAACATGTGTGAGTATGGAGAATGATTATTACCTAAGTGTGTTGTCCCAACAATGAAATTTGGAGGTGGCAGTATCATGGTCTGGGAGTGCTTCTCGTGGGATGAACTAGGTCCACTGGTCACAGTGCATGGATCCATGAATGCCGAGTCTTACATTTATGTCCTGAACAATTCTGTGTGTCCTACGTTGTGGCAATTTTATGGTACTGGCCCTTACACCTTCCAACATGATAATGCTCCATGCCACCAAGAAAGAATTGTGAACACATGGTTTTAAGAGAATAACATTGGAATGTTGCAGTGACCAGCACAGAGCCCTGACCTCAACCCGATAGAACTGGAATGAACTGGAATTCAGAATTAGGTAAAGGCCAAGACAGCCCTCTTCAGTAGCGGAGCTTACTGATGCTTTAAAGGAGGAGTGGAGCACAATACTACCAGCTTTCTACCAGAAATTAGTAGACAGTCTTCCATGACACATTGATGCAGTCATTAAGGCCAAAGGCAAGCCAACATGCTATTAATTTACTGGAATAAAGACGTTTTATTACTTTTGTCCCATTACTTTTGGTAGGATAATGCATGTTATTCTACTTTCTTTATTATCTTATATTTCATCCTACCCCAGTCTTCAGATCCACTGTAAACCAGTTGGGAACGTAAACCATTTTAAACATCTTTTTCACTTGGGCTTCCATGTCTACCTGACCATAATCTTCAACTTTTGATGCCTGGATTTTAAACCATACATAAAAAAATTAAAACTCCATTATAATTACATTATAAAAAGTTTTTATACTAACTGAATTCTGAGTAGTAACTCAAAAATTACTGTCGATAAACATGCTTATTAAACAACTGTTTTTAAATGTGAATGTTATATATAAGCCTTAAACTTATTTAACATTGTGGTAAGTTTAAATATGTTCAGATATATATCACTAGATCCTACAGAGATTTCTTTATGCTAACATGCACAGTTTACATACCATGCAAAGACATGTAGTGGTATAGATACCAGAAATTCCTGGACTTATTTTATTAACATTGTGACTTGTGATATTGCCGTGTTTAATTAATTATTTTAGAGATCACAAAGTGATAATGGCAAGATGATTGCAAATGTGATGGATATCAAAAAGAGATGAGGAGCATACTTCAAATGCCTATTAAGTGAAGAGAATGAGTGGCAAAAACTGGGGAAAGTATGAAAAGTCAGGGAATGGTGGAACACGTCACAGTAAAGGAAGTAGAGAGATAGTTGGAGAAAATGAAAAATGCCAAAACGATATATCTACTAAAACATTTAAGAAGCTAGGAAAGTTCATAAGCCAGATACCATGCAGGCTTTTCAATGTTACAATGACAGAAGGGAAGATGTCAGATGCCTGGAGGTAGAGTATTCTTGTGACAGTATTCAAAAGGAAAGACAGTGTGTAAGACTGTAGCAAATATCAAGGCATAAAGTTGTGAAAGGATGAGGGAGACTGAGAGTAGAGACAGAACAGTCTGGCAGGTCAACAACAGATGACATACATATTAAGAGGGCTGATAGAGAATTTCATCAGGGAAAAGACTCGTACATAGTATTCATCAACCTAGAAGAAAGCTTATGATAAAGTGTCAAGAGAGTTAATATGGTAGGAAGAAATGTGAGGCTGACAAAGATTATGTATTAAGAGAAACATTTTGTAAAAAGTATGTAATAAGACTCAGATTTCTAGTTAATGTGGGATTCCATCAAGGATCAGCACTAAGTCTTTTACTTTTTATAAGGGTGCTGGACACGATATCTAGAGGCATACAAAGACAAGCATCATGGTGTATGTTATTTGCAGATGGTGTTGTGTTTTATGGAGTGAATAAAATAAAAGTACAAGTGAAACTGTAGATATGAAGAGTCTACAGAGATATGGACTGAAAATAAGTAGGACAGAGTACATGGGAGAAAAATTCAATGGAGGGGAAGTAAGACAGGATGACAAGGTGCTCCGTGATCATGAAAGTTAAAGAAAGTGGAGGAATTAAAATATCTTGAATTAATTGTTCAGGCAGATAGAGGAGTAAGTAAAGTGGTCAAGAAAAGAATAAACAAAGCATGACTGAAGTCACTGGAGTGGTGTGTGAAAAGATGGATGTCAATAAAGCTGAAAGGGATGATTTATAAGGCAGTGACAAGACTAATCATGTTGTATGGGGCTGAATGTTGGAGTTCAAGAAAGAAAGTGGAGTAGATAATGAATTTAGTGGAGATGCAAATGTTGACATGGATGACAGGGGTGTCAAAAAAAGCTGCATCAGGAATGAAATCATTACGGAGAGGGTGAAAGTGGTATCAGTTATACAGAAGATGTGAGAAACTCACCTTAAATGGCTTGGTCATGTGGAAAGAAAAGGAGTGTATTGGTAGGAGAGTAATGAATATGACAGTGGAAGGGTAAAGGACAAGGGAAGACCAAATAAAAGGTGGATGGATGTAGAAAAAAATTTGGTGTGAATGCAGCTTTAACACAGAATAAGGAGTGGAGAGCAAGAACCAGAAAAGCAGACCCCTAGTAACTGTATAAATGCTAAGAAGAGATTACACTGTTTTTTTATGAATCCAGTAATTCAAAAGTTAAAACTGCTCAAGTTGAAAAATAATATAATTCTATACTGTACTGTGTTTTACACAAAAATATTACTATAGTTTGTAGTGAGATAATTAACTGAAAGTTCACTGTAAAGATATTTCATAAAATAACATTCATTCATAAGCCACCTGTTTCAAAAGATACAGAAGTATAACAAATTTAATTTTGTGAATTCTTGCTGAAACTGAATCCTAAAAATACAGACGTCAATGCTCCTACTAAAAGTTAAAAACAAAACATTTTTAGTGTTTCAAGAACAACTACAAAAGATTCAATAAATATTCGCTATACCTTTAATACATCCCATAGTGCCACATTATTGTCAGTATCCTTTGTGAGAATGTGTCTTTTGTCGTTCAGTACATTATAATGTCTGATGCTGGGACTCCCTTGAAACATTAAAATACTCATTTAAACGAAATACATGGGTATCACTAAAATTAGTAATTCATGAACTAAATCAAATGAAGAATACCATGCATTTTTCAAATCAACCAACTTTCACTTCATTATTAAGTAATGCATATTCCACTTTTTAGCTCTCTTAAAGATCTAATAAAGTGGCCTAAAGCATTTGATTTGAAGCAAACAACTGAGCAGAAACATTATAATCTATCCATTTCATTGAATTATGTTATTTTCAAAGTTACCTATAACATTGGCATTAAGTAATTCTCACAAAATGTGAAATACCTGACCAATAAAATTTTAGTTTTTACTTCTGTATCTACAAAAGAAATGTTTAATTTTGCATTTTAGTCTACAAAAGAGTAAGATTAATTTTAATTTCTGCAGACATAAAGGACATCACATAGACATTAAGTCAGGTATAGCAGCAATGAGCCTTCTTACTTTTAAAAATCTTAAGAAAACATTACATTTTTGTCACAAAATTTATGTTGTTAATTGTTAACTTCTAGATTAACCCAGGTAATATTTTTGATACATGGAAGCTAACTTGAAGAAATATGAAATTTATTTGAAACCTTAGCTGTAACTATGAAGAACAATTTACTGTAATGTATAAAAACAGTTTTCCTTCTCACTGATTTTCAGCAGCATTTACAAATCATCAAGTAGATGCATATATCAAGTGACATAAATCCTGTTCATCTAAGAAATGCTTTTCATTTTCTTTAATTTTACAACTTCTATATGTTTAAAATACCTCATTTGTTGTATTATTCTTTTCTGGTTAATGTTTTGTATTATCAGATTTCATAGTGTTTTGTGTGAACGTGTATGTTTATGCGATATTTAACAGCTTTTTAAGCTTCGCTCACTTGAAAATACTCTATTTTCCTTTTAAATGTTATTTTAACCTTCTCACAATGGGTAGACCAAAGTGCACGTCATGACATTTTAGAGAGTGAAATACAAAATTTAATTAATCTACTTTATTATCATTGTATACAAATAAAGTTAGCATCAAAATGTAGTTAATAAATCAAATTTAGCTCTCAACATGGACTTGAACAATTTGACAGAGCACGTGACCTCTTTGTACTTGTTTAACCATATCGTCCCGGGTATCCTTTAATGCGCACGACACAAGGTTTTAGTGTCTTACATTAAAAATTTTATTAAACTACTTTTTGTTTATATTATACCAATTAGAATAGCATAAAATCTAAGCTAATAATCCACTATTTTAATTAGTATACTACGTTTAATTTACTTATTATTAAAAGGCAATTAAA